GTGGCAGCCAGGGTCATTTTCTAAGAGAGTGAGAAGAAAGTGTCCTCAACCGGTTTCTCAGCTGTTTTCAACCAACCCTTGACTTCAGTTTATACTCCATCAGTCATTTCCTGGATCAGAGGATTAGGAAACATATACATGCATGCACACGCATGCACACACACACACACACACACACACACACACACGCCAGAGGTCTCCTGAGTAGATGGTGAGAATATTTTAAGGATATATTGGACTAGAACATTTTGCTTAAGGATCTGAAATAATGCCACTAACCTAAGTGCCTTAATGGGTTTCTCACTCCTGATTGCAGCGCACATTAGTTGACTTAAGTTGCACAGGAAGCTATCTTGCCGTCGGTTTGGAACCACCCAAGTGCGTCTTTAGAAATTCGTCAGGATTCTGATGTGTTATCTCTTCATATTTATTATCTTAGTTTATTCCCATCTCTTACATGTGAAATATTTCCCCTTCAGTAAAATGCTTAATCCCAAATTCTGGGATTTTCTAATCCCAAATTCTGATCCTACTGGTTTTTGTAACACTTTCCAGGGTCGAGCAAGACAGTTATACAACGCAGGTTACAGAAGTTTAACGCACTTAGCTAATGCAAATCCTGAAGTGCTGATAGGGACGATTGACCATTTGTCAAGACGCCAGGCCAAGCAAATTGTCTCATCAGCAAAGGTGAGCAAACAAGTTTTTAACCTTTATAATATTTTGTACTGATATCTCCTTGTACTTTACACATCAGAACAAAAACCTGTAACATTGCATGATAGTTTATTTCTATAGACAAAAAAGTACAGATTCACAATTTGTGAGTAAAATAGTGCATCAGTGAAAAAGGACCTCCTAAAAAATAAAGACAATTTTAAAGGTTCTTTGAAATACAGGGAACCCTGAAGTCTTTGAGCTCTGCTTCCTAACAGCTGTTTCGCAGAAATCCTTTCCTCAGCATCCCTGACATCTGGTTTTCTCACCTTTGAGCACCTTCATTGACGAGGAGCTTACAACATCAGAAATTAAGTTCTATTTTTGTATGCTGTTAGTGGTACAAAAATCATCCCAATAGACTGAAGTTCAATTTTGCCTTCCTAAAATTTCTACCGTTGCATTCGAGTACGACCCCCGGAACTAGTCTATTTTTTAGTTCATACAGTAGTTTTTCATATATTTGAAAAGAGCCCCCATTGCTCCTTCCTTCATCTGTGTTAAATTAACACCTAGTTTTAGGCCATTCGTTATGCTAGTTACCCTTTGCTAGTTGCAACCCGGTTTGTCATTGCCCTTCTGCTTGGTGTGGTAAAGCCATGACACAGCAACTGGGATTATTTCCTTCTTGATCTCAACGATAGTTGTAAGTCTGAAATAGCCTGGCTTCTTTGAAACTTCATTGTTACACTATTGCTCATGTAGGACAGAATTAGCTGAAAAGAAAGTTTCCATCTTTCTTTTTTGAATGGCGCTCACCTTGCTTATATTAATTGCTCTTTATGACAATCCAATGAGACAGGCAGTGTCACTATTAGCCTCAATTTGTATATGAAATCACTGAGACTGACCGTGTCCCATTAGATTAGGAGTTCTTAGGGTCGGAAGGGATGAAGTTCAGCCATTTCCATTGTTACAGCACCTAGCACAGGACTCAGCCTCCAGTGTGTGTTTAATACGTATTTGAATAAATAAATAAATGAAACTTAAATAAAGTGATTCGCCCAGCGAAATAGTCAGTAAGTGGTTGAGCCAAGACTATGGAGTCACACTGAATATTATTTAAGGATACAAATGGGACTGCAGTTACAATGGCCAAAATAAGTGACTTTAAATTAGAAAAATGTATTAGACTAGTGTGAGCATAAGCTCACAAAGAGGATTTGTGTTTTTTGATTTTTTTTTAATTTCCTTTTGGCCTACAGGATTCCAAATTTTGTCCCTGTGACCTTTTCCCCTCACTGCTCGGCTTCCACAGGGCACCACCCTTTTTACCTGTTCTCTCCCCAAAAGCACTGCCTTTCCACAGACCGCCTCCCGGAGTCCCACACATACCTCAAATGCCTCCCTATAAACAGTGCTTTAATCTACCAAGATTCTTTCTTCAGTATTTTTATATGTAGGTAGGCGTTCTCTCTCTGGAGGCGATTTTATTTCATCTTAGACCCTCCCTCTTGTCTTGTTCGTGTAGTATTTTTTCTCAACCCCACCTTGGTCTCTGCAGACACTTGGAGTAGGAACTCAAGAAATTGGTTCTGCCTGCCTGAAGTTGGTGGATTTTTTTAAACAAGTTATTTGAGATTGATGGTGTTCTCTGTATTCTATGAATGATAATGCTGACACACAGGTTTTGTGTGGTTTACTTGTTATTCTTGCCTTTAGAGGATGTGTTTGGAGATTTGTTTTACATGATTATCATTACCT